CCAGCCTTACTCCAGCTATTAAAGCTTCATACTCCGCTTCGTTGTTTGAGGCTTCAAATCCGAGCCTGATGGCTTTCTCCAAAGTACATCCCTCTGGGCTTACTAGAACAATGTCGACGCCAGCACCCTTTTGATTTGAGGATCCATCGATGAACAGTGTCCAACTGTTGCTGATCTTCCTTTCTCGGTTGCAAGAAGTCCCTTTAGTCTGCACTAAGATATCCTTAGGTAGAAATTTTGCGATAAAGTCTGCCACAACTTGGCCCTTTATTGCCTTCTGTGGTTCGAATCGAACGTCAAATTCCCCTAGCTCCACTGCCCACTTAGCTACACGTCCCAACAAATCGGCTTTATAGAAGAGTGACTTTAGCGGTTGATCAGTAAGTACTGTGATTTGATGGGCTTGGAAGTAATGCTTGAGCTTCCTAGCCGAGCTAATTAGTGCTAGGGCAAGTTTTTCCAACAGAGTATACCTTGATTCTGCATCCAAGAACATCTTGCTCACATAGAAGATTGGTTTCATCTTTCCATAGTCATTCCTCATCAATGCTCCACTTATAGCGTGCTCTGATACAACCAGGTAGAGGTAAAGTCCTTCATCGGGATCCGGGGTTGATAGAATCGGTGGAGACGCTAAGTATGCTTTCAGATTTGCATATGCTTCCTCACATTCCTGATTCTAGAGTGCTCCATGTTTTCCTTTGATTGACTGAAAGAAGGGTCTACATTTATCAGATGCGCGAGATATAAATCTCCCAAGTGCTGCTGCCATTCCTATTAGCCTTTGCACATCTTTTGCAGTTCGAGGGGATTTCAATTCGGCAATAGCCATCACTTGCTCGGGATTCACCTCTATTCCTCAGTGAGTAACCAGAAATTCCAAGAATTTCCCCTAGCCGACCTCGAAAACGCATTTAGACGCATTTAACTTCATGTTATATTTTCTCAAAATATTGGAAGTTTCTTTCAGGTTAGCACAATGACTCGTGGCTTTTCGACTTTTAACTACCATATCATCAATGTAAACTTCTATAGTACTACCTATCATATGTGAAAACATTTTCGTTACTAACCTCTAGTATGTTGCTCCTGCATTCTTCAACTCGAAGGGCATTACTTTGTAACAGTACGTTCCTTCTGGCGTTATAAAGACAGTCTTTTCTTGATCCTCCTTGGCAAGGGGGATCTAATGATATCCCCTGTAGGCATCCAAGAAACTCATCTGCTCATGCCCTATTGTTGCGTCTACCAACTGATCTATCTTCGGCAGGGAGAAATTGTCTTTTGGACACTCTTTATTCAGGTCGGTGAAATTAACACAGACTCTCCACTTCCCATTTTTCTTCTTTACCACAATAGTGTTTGACAACCAGGTCGGATATTTCACCTCCATAATTGTTTGAGACTCCAACAAACGAGCCACTTATTCTTTTACTGCTTCCTGATGCTGTGTTGCCGACCTCTTGAGCTTTTGCTTTACTGGCTTGAAGCTCGGGTCTATGTTTAAGTGATGACATGCCACTTCTGGCCATACGCCAAGCATGTCAGTGGTACTCCATGCAAATACATCGGCGTATTCTTTCAGCAGTGTAATGAGCTTTGTCCTTTATTCAGAACTAAGAGCTGTTACTAACAAAAAATATTTTTCTTGGTCAGCATCCCTGTCTAGAGGTATTCTAAGTCTTCAACTATTCGGTTTGTAGCCTCTCTCTCTCTTCGCCTAAAGGTACTTTAGGGCTTTTTTTGATAGCGGTTGGCAGGGTCAACCGAGCTGTCTAATATTGATTGCTATTTCATCTGTTCATCCACAGAGCAATTTCCTGGGCATTCTGCCTTGTCTTTAGACTTGATAGAAGCCAACAAGCAAGTTCTAGAACTAACTTGGTCTCCTCAAATATTTACTACTCCATCAGATGATGGGAATCTCAGCATTTGATGGTATGTTGATGGTACCGCTTTTATTTCGTGCAACCAAGTATGCCCCATAATTGCGTTGTATGCCGAGACTGTGTCCACTACCAGGAACTTGGTCATAACGCAAACTGGTCCTGTCTTTACAGGCAATATGACCTTTCCCTTGGGCAGAACCGTTTTTCCACTGAAGCCAATAAGTAGAGTATTCGAGGGCTTGAGATCCTCTTTTTGAGGTCGAGCTTTTTGAACAAATCCATATACATGATTTATGACGAACTCCCCGGATCAATTAGGACCCTTCTCACATCAAAATTCGCAATCCGAAGTGTGACGACCAAGGCGTCATTGTGCGGTTAGTGAACGCTAACCAAATCCTGCTCGGTGAAACAGGTTGCTTCGGCTGTATCCTCTATCTTGATTCGTTTGTTAGCGACCTCCGAGGTCATTCATAACTCGTACACTTCTCTCTTTTTGGCTGCTTTCTGAATATAAGCCCGAGCAGAGTTGTTCGTGGACATCTGAGGGTTGGTGGCGGCATGGATCACATCAATTACCCCAGCTGAAGTGTTGGAGTCCCCTTTTGGTTCAGTTCTCCCCCCTTTGGTTTTCTGCTCACTTTCAATGAATTCTGTGAGATGTTCAGCCTAGACTAACTCCTCCAGTTGCTGCTTGAGAGATCGACAATTCTTAGTTATATGACCTATATCTTTGTGATACGAGCACTTAAAATTTGGATTCCTTTTAGATAGATCACCTATTAGCTTGTTCAGCCATTTGAAGAACGATTTACCTTTGATTTGACTTAGAACCTTATATATTGGTTCTTTGGACAATGTATTTACCCCCAAAAAAGGGGACCTTTGGGGATATCCCTCCTTCTCAAATTTCCTTCCTCTCTCTCTGTTCGGCTCAACTTACTTTTCCCTTCCAAACTGTCTCCTGCTCAGATGTTCCTTAATCACTTCTTTGGATAAATCATCATCCACTCTGACATACTTTTCAATCCTGGCCATTAATTCTTCCAAGTCAGTAGCAGGACTCCTTGTGAGCGATTGGTATAGAGGGTTTTCTTTCGGCAAGCCAATCTTGAAGGATGCAACTACAATCTCTAGATTGCACCCTTCGACTTCATTCATGGTTTCCCAATAACGATGCACATACTCTTGCAAGCTTTGTTACTCTTCTTTTTCAGCGTCAGTAGAGCCCCAACATCCTTTGGTTATTTACTACTCGTGATGAATCGAGCTGTGAACTGCTCGGCTAATTGAGGCCACCCGTTAATCATTCCTTTGGGTAAGCTGTCGAACCACTTCATGGCGAACTCCCCCAGACTGCTAGGGAAGATAGTGCAAAATAATGGCTCGTTTCTTCGATGGATGGTCACCAGTTGTCGAAAGTGCCTGATATGTGAGGCTGGGTCGGTCTTTCCATCGTACAACTTGAAGTTTAGGACGACAAACTTGCTCGGGATTTGTGCTTTTTTTTTGACCCAAGTAGTGAATGGGGATGACTCCAAACCGTCTCCGTACTCCCTTGTTGCTCTTCTAGCTAGGTCTTTAGCCGATCTCTGTTTTGGTCTCTTCAAGCGAAGGTTGAACTCTTCGTTGATATACTGCTTCCACGTATCCTCCTCCTGGATTCGAGGCTTCTTTTGCCGGTAATCTTTCTCATCGGCAATTTTAACTCTGTTAGGATTCCGTCCTGGACTTTCATGCCAATCTTCTCTTGCTCGTTTTTCCCTTCTAGTCACCTCTTTCAACTTTGCCTTTAACTCTTCGTTTTCTCGGATCAAATCTTTCTCCTTAGCATAGGATTTATTGAACAGCTTGTCATAGGCATCAAGTTGATCCTGCAGGGACTGAACTAGCTTTGCCAAGGAATGGTCCTCCCCATTGGCACGAAGGGACTTACCATGATCCTGGCTCTATTGGTTCTGATTTTTCAAGGGCTTGAAACTCGCAGAGGATACCTCGTCATCTTCATGGATTCTGGAGGGGCTTCTGACTGCATGTAACCTTGCGTTGTTGTCAGAAGGATGATGCACAGGATCAGAATTTCCTAAGGAATAACTGCCTACAGGTGAACCAATTGCGCTTCTGAGCCTTGAAATCCTAGCTTTTTGTTCTGAAAGATGATGATCTTTCCCACAAAAGGCGCCAAATGTAAGAGGCAAAAAATTTAGATTACCTTCTACTGAAATTGAAATGGTTATGAGATTCTGAACTTGATCTTCCAATCTTCCTCTTCCTGCAGAACCAACACACTGCCCAAGATCGAAGTGCTTTGATCGAAAGCATTCCGATGCTTAAGTCAATAAGAATAATGAAACGAATGGAAGTAGACAGAGGGGTTCAGCGTACCTTTCTCCTTGGTCTCTTCTGCTTTTTATAGATCGTTATCACCTTAGAATTTTTATGAATTTAGGTTCAAGGTGACACACCTTCTTTCAATTCAGTCATTCACTATGGGAAGTTGCTAATATTTCTCTTGATATCTTCAATTTCTTTAATTCATTTATCTGATTACCTAAATTGTAGGCGAATCTTTATTTTTCTGTTTATCATTTAAAACAGTTCGGTTATGTCGAATGTCGAGCACACTTGATATTTTTCGAATAAATTAAGGGACTTGGTTTGGTACAAACTGATCTCTTCAATTGCCTTGCCGAACACTTTAACAGACTCGATTTGGTACAAGCCGAGCTCTTTCTTTGCTTGGCTGAACAAACTGATGAGTTCGATCATTAAGAGAACCTAACTCTTTTTTTATTTGTCAAATGAACTGATCAGTTCGGCTCGGTCCTCAAGGCTAGGAGGATATCCTTGTCACATGACTGGTCTTGCCAAACTCACGTGAGCTTATTTAATATTTTAACACGTGTCATCACAAGGGTTAATTCCTTCATTTTAGATAATAGATGAGTGATTTTGAAGATATAATAAACCGGTTGAATTTTTCCTAATATATTTCGTAGTACTCGGACCAGCTGAATACTTTCGGCAACGCCCTGTTTGGGCCGCCCCTGCTACATCGTCAATATCTCTCTCGCTCTCGCTGTCTTTGTTACGCACACGCGCACCAACACCATGAAGCTCTCTTTTTCTCTCTCTTCAAACCCATCCTCACTGCCCCAGCACCTCAAACGTTCGCAAACTCTCAATAACCCCAAGGACCAAGAGGATCTAACAACAACCTCGAAACAATACATCACTGAATTTGATTCCTTAGAAACCCTAAAAATTTTGGAATCCAAAAAGCTGATTATCCCCCCCAAAGCCAATGAATGGAGGCCTTGCAAGAAGACGAAGTACCTCGATCTTCCGGCCCAATCCAGCGGCCCAGATAATCTCCAGTTTGAACTGGACCCCACCTCTTCCATAGATCTCACCGATTCTTCCATCTCCTACGGCCTGAATCTACGGCAGTCCATTAACAATGACGCAGTTGCGGAGCCGCAGCGGCCGGAGCCGATAGAGAGCGTGATGTTACAGAAATTGAAAGATGATTTGCAGAGGCTGCCGGAGGATAAGGGGTTCGATGAATTTACGGATATGCCCGTTGAAGGTTTTGGGAAAGCGTTGCTCAGTGGGTATGGTTGGTACGAGGGTAGGGGCATTGGGAGGAATGCAAAAGAAGATGTAAAAGTTGTTGAATATACCAGGAGGACTGCCAAAGAAGGCTTAGGGTTTGTTGGTGAAGTTCCCCAAAGAGATAATAAAAACACGAAACAAGAGAGAGAGCAAAGGGGCAATATTGGTAAGGAAAAGGATAAAAGTGGGTTCTATGTGGGGCAGGACGTTAGGGTAGTTGGTGGGAAGAATATGGGGCAAAAGGGTAGGATTCTGGGGGTGATGGGTGGTGGGGATTCAATTATTTTAAAACTTTCCCGAAACGAGGAGGAAGTTATGGTCCGTTTTCGCGATCTTGCTGACTTGGGTTCTGTGGACGAACAAAAGTGTTCGAGGAAGTTGGGGGAGTGGAAGATGAGAGAGTTAACGGACCAAAGGGGTAAAGATAAAGAATCATCCTCTGGGAGGGGACATAAGGAGAAGGAGGATGATTGGAGTAAGGGTAGGAAGAAGGAGAGTAAAAGGAGTCGAGATGGTAGGAATAGAGGTAATTGTGAAGAAGAGGTGAGTGCAAGGAATCCAGTTTCTTGGTTAACCAGTCACATAAGAGTTAGAATTATCAGTAAGGAGTTAAAAGGAGGGAGATTATATTTGAAGAAGGGTGAGATTGTGGATGTGGTAGGACGGGGGATGTGTGATGTATCAATGGATGAGAGTAATGAGTTGATTCGAGGAGTGGGTCAGGAACATCTTGAGACTGCACTTCCACGGCGAGGGGGACCAGTTCTAGTTTTATATGGTAGGCATAAGGGTGTTTATGGAACCCTAGTGGAGAGGAATACTGAGAATGAAACTGGTGTTGTTCGAGATGCTGATACTCACGAGTTGCTCAATGTGCACCTTGAACAAATTGCTGAGTTCATTGGAGATCCGAGCTACATTGGATATTGATGCTTCTGTGGTAGCCACAGCATGATACATTTGTGAATGTGGATTGTTCTTTGATTTCTAGGTATTTTGAGTTATATGTCTCATTGGCCTATGATAATTTCTTGGAATCTCTTTATGTTGTTATGTTTTATTATATTTAATTTTTGTGGTAGGTGCTACATTGATTTTGATGTCCACTTTTCTTTTGATCAATAACAAAGAAATGCTTTCAGTGAATTAAAGTACATGTGGGGCAAGAACTTCACCAAGAAAGAAAAAGAATACAAAAGATATGATAAAACGTATTACATGTCATATATAGATTTTCAATCTGGCCTTATCAAGAATAATCGGGAGACACCAAAACCCACCAAACACCATTACCTCCATGACCATCAAGAAAGCAACGTTACTACCATTTGCCAAGATGTAACTATCATTCACTCATTTATGGTCGCCTAACTCTTATCCTTTTGCTGCCTCATTTGTCTCATAACTTCACTTTATTTATTTGAGTCCTGGAATGAGAAATACGACTATATACCAACTTTTTAATTGTGTGGAAAACTACATAAAATGATTAATTAGCACTCTCTTATTTAATGAAATAGAATCAAATGAACTCCTATGATAAGATAAATTTAGTTTTCCATGCTATGTCTGAGTCCACTCTGATTCGTTGTGACTCAGACAATAACTGTACGACAATTGGTCTAAAGGGCAGAACCCAAAACATATCAGATAGACACAAAATTGTTTTACCTTTTGCTGGTTAGGCAGATAATAAAAACCTTTTGTAGATATCCCGCTATGTTTTCGGGAAAGACAGCTATCAGCTACATTGAGAAATGTAAGTTGGATTGTAGAGATCTTGTCCAACAAAATCTTGGGTCTACATGCATTGGATGATGTTTGGACTACAAACCTTGAGGCAAGTTTGTTTTGAGGTTGTTTAGAAGCTTTGAAGCGGAAATTTGGGGTGTTTTCTTTGAAACATTCAAAGGCTATTACTTTTTTTTTTTGGTTGGAATAGTATGCCACATGAGATTTCTTAAAGGTGACAAAGTTGCGGAATTTGAAAAGTGAAGATGGTTATGGCTGGAAGTTTTTTGCTGAAAAAATTGGTAAAGTTGGTAATGGTGGAACAAACAGGTTAGGAGTACACTTCAAATAGTTTTAGGTAGGATTTCATTCATTGTAGCAAGTGGAGCAAAGCTTTGGTATGTGTTAGAGGAGCCTCTTGATTTCTTGGATTGATATTTAACTTGATCCGATATGTGTACACCCAAGTGCAGGCGATCAAGTTGTAGTAATAATCCGGTTAAGTTCGGAGTTGAATCTATAAGGAAATATTGTTGATGTTTTAAAGTAAACAGTGACAGAGACCATGTGATTGTAACCTTTAAGATTTATAGTGATAATGGTTAGAGATTTTCCTAGGCCAAATATATCATTCTTTCTAAGAAATTTTTTAAGACAAAATATAAGATAAATTCAAATATAAACAATCACGCTTTAGCTCGAGGATCTGAACATATAGTTAATCATCCGATTTATTATACTTGTGCTTGATAACTCAATTAACTCTCGTGTCAACAGCAAGTTAATCGGAAGATAAAAGTGAATTGTGAGAATTAAGCACATGGTTCCGATGCCTTTCTAGAAGTTTACAAGAATTATCTGTGCCGAGACTCAACCCGTCTACAAACACGCAAGTGTTTCTACAAGGCATCCAACCACGGCGTTAATATTCCATCCTTTTAGATGAAGTTCAATAATAATGAAAATTGAAAGATAGTCATGAAGATCTAACCGAGGTACTTGCCCTGAACCAATGAGTCTTTCTATACAAGAGTCTTCTATGTTATAGAAATTTCTCACGGTTATATAAAATACCTTAGTTTTGCTAGATACAGTCAATCATTTAATAAGCAAGTGAAATATAAAACATTTAAGCATAAATGAAATGCACTAAAATAACTTCCGGATAATTTATACATGTTCACCACCTCTTACTAAAGAGTGAATGAGAAATTATTTATTCTTTATGGTTTTGGTAAAGCTAGAAAAGTGAGTGATGCTCATCCCTCCAAGTAGAAGAATTACAAAGTCAAACACAATAAGCGAGGAATCGATTTTTGACAAAGAATAAGTGAATTACGTTCCACCCTTCACGGCTTTGATAAAGTTCTAGAAAAGTGGAAGAGTTTCACTATTCTAAGGGAGGAAGGAAGTTCAAGCAATGGAAGTGAAAGACAATTAATGAAAGTAGAAGAAAGTTAGTCACTTTTGGAGAGTTTCCACCGCAACCAAAAGGTAATCTATCTTTTTTTTTGCAAGTAATTGAAAGCCAAAGTCTAAGACTAATTCTATAACAAGCTAAAAAAATGTTGGTTTAGTGCCCACCTAACTCCCCTTTGAAGCTCCCATAAGGGGAGTATTTATAGGCAAGGAGGAAGGGACAAGATGGTGTGAAAGAATAGTGTCGGGCCTTGAAAGTCCTACTAAAAGCCATCCACTCTGCAGCCTGTCTTGGGACAACGTTCGAACGTTGTTACTTTATTTGCTTGATGGGCGTTTGAACGTGGAGATGCAATTTGAATTCCCCACTCAAGTGACTTGTGTTCTTTTAGAGATCTACTTCCATACGTCTTGAACTACTGCCCTTGCACTCATTAGCCTAGTCCTCAATAGTGGAGGAGAATTTTCGAACGTGGTACTCAAGTACCTCAATGTTTTCTTTCTTGACTGCAACACGCCATGTCTTAGCATTTGATTTTCAAATAATTTAAGGGAACGTTCGAATGTGAGTTGGCGTTCGATCGTTCCTGCTTTGTTCCAAAGTTTTTCAAGTTTGATATTTGTTGCCTTTGAGCCTCTGTTCACTTTAGGACTTGAAATGTTATCATTTAAATTCTATCAAAGTATAATTAGTCTTAAAAAAGTATAGTGATATGCTAATTTTAACTACTAATCAATATTCAAAAGCATTGGCAAGATCATTTATATTTTATTTGAAGTTGTATTCGTTTCAGGTTGACAGAGCTATGTTCTTTTGTGAGAATAAGGGGGAAGCCGCAAAAAATTGCATGCTTGAAAAATGTTATTTGGAAGGGTCTACAATGTTGAGATTGAAAAATGGATGCTGGAGGCGAACTTCGTAAGAAACAAAGTTTATTTCCCGGGGGACTAGATTAACATTGAGGAGTCGAGTGTTGTAGCATTTGCATTTTAGGTGTCATATCTGGATAAGAGATGTTTGACTCTTGATTTTTTGGGGATATTTTGTGGTATATATTCCTTTCTGTCGTTTATTGATGCCCCGCTTGTCTTATTTTTGAACCTTTTGAATGCTGAAGTACCGTATAGGCTTTCTGTATGGACTGTTACTCATGGGATGATTAATACTGGTGATATAGTTCCAATAAGAAGGCCTATTGGTGGTGTTCTCCCAATTGGTTTGTCATGTATAGGAGGAATGGTCAGAGCATTGACCATCGTTTCTCCATTGTTCTCTTGCTTTGAGCTTATGGCAGAATTTACCCCTGGAAGTGAAGATTCCCCATAGTAGTGTCTTTGTTTTTGTTTGCACATCTGGAAGTGAAGATTGGGTGATTCCCCATAGTAGTGTCTTTGCTTTTGTTTGCACATCTCCAGGGAACCATCTTTGTGGATTGTTCGGTTGGAAAGAAATAGTAAAATCTTCGAAAGAGAATACGAGTTGAGGATTTATTTGGGTTAGTTTTGAGCTTTTGGTTTCTTTATGGTTTCACTTACAAAAGAGTTATGGGTTGCCTTCATTCTTTATTAATCAAGGATGGGTGCTATTGGGTTCTGTGATGGATAATGATGTTTGGCTCTTTGTGTTTCTCGGTCCCATCTCTATTTGTATTTCTGAAAATCAAATCTTTTATGAAAACAACTTCTCTCACTCACATTAAAATCATAACACTTATATTGAATCTCATTTTCGTTCTTGATCACTGAATGTTCCAAAGTAGAGGACATTTCTACCCCTTAAACCCATTTCGTCTACCCTAATCCAGACTGCAGATGGGATTATCTGAAAAAGGGGGTAACAGCCATTCTTCTTCACCTATATAAAGCCCTTATCTTCTTCAATTGCATGCTGTTCTTGGCTTCGTTGTGATCTGGTTCCATCTTTGAGGTATGTTCGCTTTATTCTTTTTCTTTTGTTTTCATGGCTGCTTTCTTCCCTTTTTTTTTTCTTGCAGTCTGTGAGATGGGTTGGGGCCAGCGGTTCACCAAAGCTAAAGCTCCACTCTCGATGGAAATTCTCCAAAATTCCGCCCCATGAATTGGTTCATCTCAACCCCTCTATAATGTTTAGTGTCACCCTGCCCTTGCCCCCGCCCCTTCTGATGTGAATAATTCATTTTTAATTTTCCACTCAAGACCAAAGCCAAGCGGTCAGAGATTGAACGCAACTGTAACATGATTGCTCCTTTAGTTGCCCAGTCACAGATGAATTCCATCGTTTTTTATCTCATTGTCATGTGCTCAGCTGAGTTCATATATATGTGAAATATAAGACGTGTTTTTTCAAATACTTGTTGTGGGTGGAATTCAATCAACAGGAATATCTGGGTAATAACTAAAAAAGCTATGCATAACTCGGGAGGGTGAACAATCTACCAGTGTTATAACTAATTGATTTTCTGTTCATATTTGTGATCTTGAACTTCTTTAATGATATTTCAGTGTAAAACACCAGGTTAAGCCAATAGATGTAGCACCTTTTTTTTTTTTTTTTATTTCTCACCCAAAAAGATATTGTGTTTAGATTTATTTTTATGTGAATCATGAGATAATTTTTTTTTTTGTTTTTTTTTAAGATGAAAGAAATGGAGGCTTCAAGATTGTTTCGGTGGAGTGATGATAAAAAATTACTTAAATCCATTTACTTGGTCATGGTATAATTTCTTGAGTGTCGGAATGTTTGAACACTCTCCAATAGAGTGCTTAACACTCACATATCGAGCAAGATTCTTCGGCCTTTGTGACATTTGATACCTCAGACCTCCTATTCACCTCTAAGCTCTCCACCTTATGGAACAATTTTGCTATCTTTGCAAACAAATCTTCTTGGTCATGCAAATTATACATCCCCCCTCCCCACTTGGTTGACTTCTCAGAGAGGATCTTGATATATCGGTGGGATAAGTGATATCCTTAGATTGAATATTCTCCGCCAATGTGTTAAAGTACTCAAAGGTCTCATTGGGATCCTTAAAAACTCTGTTGCACATCATATGTCAATAAATTGTCGGTTACCTGGTGTAATTCTTTCGTAGAAGAAACTAACCAATTGCCATGGTTCGAATCCATGATGTGGAATGGAGTGCAACAAGTCCTTGTATCTATCTCAACACTAACAGAATTATTCATTCGATTTTTTTGAAAAATTTTGAATTTGTTTCTTTAGAGCAGTTGTTTTGGGTACTAGAAAAAATTTGTTTAGAAATTCGGATAGCATTTATGCACAAAAACTTATTGAGCGGGATTTCAACGAGTTCAACCAAGTTTTTACTTAGTCCTTGAGGGAGAAGAGGAATAATTTCACACGTGTCATGTCTTCCATGACATGATTTGAAATGAATGTTCTAACAATTTCTTCAAACTCCTATATGTGTAGGTAAGGATTTTCTCGTTTCACTCCATGGAATTGAAGAAATAATTGCAACATGCCTGGTTTAACAAGGAAGTTATGTGCTTACACAAGTAGAAGTATGCATGAAGGGGTGGTGATTCGAATAGATTGAAGATAATCTCTCATTGATCTCGCCGAAGGATCAATAGGGAGATTATTTCCTTCATTTATCAGAGGGGGTTTGTCACTCTGGGATTTTGCACTCCCCTACCCCTCGGATTATTAGCACCATCGTCCCCAAAATTGTCTCTGGCGTCTTCGGGTAAGTCTTGATTCAAGTTAATATTTGGTCCTATGTCACGTCTCACTAGTCTATTTTGTTTATCATGTCCCCACATACAAAAATACTAACTACAATTGAAAATTTCTGCACAAATATATACAAAGGAGCAACGTACCGCGGCCCGTGACGAAAATCACGGGACTTATCTCCGTTGTCCCCAAATCACTTTCAAACTCGACGCTTAGCCATTCCTGACAACGGCACCAAAAATGATTGATTGTTTTTCCTAACTTCTCACATGAACCCAATTGTTTGTGTATATGGCTTAAAGTGTATGGTGAGTGTCACTCTCCCTCAAGCTCAATACAAGAAGTGAGAAAAATTGTGTGGATGAACAAAAAGTGTGTTTGCAAAATTGCTCCCCAAGCGTATAGAGTCGTACAATGTCGTGTTTTACTTGAAATGAGTATTCCAAGTCATCTCCTCAGGGAAGACGAGGTCGAGTGTTCTTGAAGAGTGATTTGTGAAAAAGTGAAAATTAAAAAAAATTGTGATTTGAAATTTGGTGGGTTGTGAATTGAGGAATATGTAAGAAAATAAGGTTGACTAATCCATAGAGGTCATCCCAATAGGAATATCAAATCGACTCATTTCATTCAACTAATAGTTTCTTGGTGTTTCATTGATTCATAGGAAGTGAGGGACTAATGTAGTTGTGTTGGACAAGAGCATACCCCGTGAAAAGTCTACGATGTATCAAAAGCCCACAACCACGTCCGCACTCAACCTAGTCAAACCTAACACTTTACACTATGAGGAAGAATGAAAGATAGCCGATTTCACATACCTAATAGGAAGTCCTCCTAGGATTAGCCAACTAAAGTTTTAGTTAGCCATGGTAAAAATAAGAACAAACATGAAATAGAGAAATATGATAGTAAAATCAAACATGAATTTGTATTAGTGTAAGAATGAGTTTAAACTGCAAGAGAAAAAACATTTATTTCCAAAATGTAGAGCTTGAAGGGAACAAAACCCAAATGTAGAAATGAACCACAACAACTTAACTAAACTTAATTACAACTTGATTAAAAGAGATTAAAGTGTAAGAGGGAAAGATTACATGTAAAATAGAGCTTACTATAATAAAAATGTTGAAGGAAAATGGAAAACCCAACTTTAGAACTTCATCTCCTTCCTTAGACCTTCTCTATCTACAAGCTTGATGATCTGAAATTGTGTGTATGAAGTCTATATTTTCATCCATCCCCCTCTCTCTTAGTATGAATTGCTGACCTGGAGTGATTGGAGAGAGATTGTCCACAAAAGCTTCCAAAATCAGTCAAAGTATGGTCCTCCCATACTTTTTCAACCACTCCCTCTCTCTACATTGGTCATCCATTCTCTCATGCTTAAAATCTGAATGTAAGGGTTAGGGGATCATCATGGAGTATTAGAAATGTCAGAACATAGATTAGGTAACAAAAGGTGGACCCCAGTAGTTGGTGGAGTCATTTAGAGAAGGATCTCAAGCATATTCTACCGGTAACTAGTAAGGCTCCAACCGGTAGCTCATTTCCAATAGGGTCTGCTACCGATAGCTCATCCATGGAGGCCCTTGTAGCTACCTTCCAGTAGGGTCTTCTATCAGTAGCTCATTTCTAGTAGGGTATTCTACCGGTAGCTCTATGCAGGGAGGTACCGGTAGCTCCTCGCCTTGTTTTGAAATTGATTCCTTGAGCTCTCGAGCCATCTGTCATGAGATCATTTCTGTGACGCCCCTAAAATCGGGGGTCCCGTTGACCATCCGTCAACCCGCATAAATACCTGTGAATTTCGCGTGGCTTGACATTACATTTATCATATCTATGTAATCGGGATTATAACTTACACGTATAACTAGTGTTCCTTTAATCATTTAATTTAACGGAGGTCCAATAAGCCTCAATATACCTCATTTAATGTTCATTTGTATCATTGGAACTAAAGAAAATAAAGTTCAAAAGATTAGCAAAATAATTTTAGATTTTTCAGATTTTTGGAAGAGCTACCGGTAGATGGTTGTTATAAGTACCGGTAGAAGTTCTACTTGCTACCAGTAGGTTTTGTCCAGAATTTCATATTTCATTGGTTTTTCATTTCCAATTCATCCCAAACCTTCTCAAATTCATCCCAAACATGTATAATAACATTTCCTACATTATGCATGAACCATACAAGTTCTATTACATGCCTTTATATGTCAAAACGACATTTAACCAAAGTTTTTACAAAACTTGTTTCCAAAAGCCACAAATCGGCTTTTCTTCATCTTTGAGGCCCTGAATGTGAATCCTCCAACGGTACGAACCCCGCACCTGAAATGTGTTCTCGTATAGGGTGAACCAATGCCCAGTAGAAAATTTCCTACAAAGGCTACTCCCCACCTAAGTGCATATGCAATGTATTATGCAACAAAACACAACCAAAATCCATTCCAATGCAAGAATTATGTAATCCATGTTAGAATTTACCATG